TCAGTTTTATATTACTATATTATAGTAATAGAATGAAGCACTGGTGGCTCTTTGCTTATAAAAAGACTTTATTGAGCACAAGGGGCGGGGTATCTTTGCAGCCACCGTGGCCTGCAGGGTAACAGTCTGTGAAAGATAAAAAGATAGTGTGGTTCAGCACCACTAAGTTGCTGGCATTGGTTCAAACTTCAGGAGTCTGACTCTGGGTAGCTTATTTTAGGCATATTTAAGTACAGCATAACTAGGTGAAAACTTTCCTGGTGATAATAAAATCAATCCCACGTGTACATGACTGCTTCAAAGCTCTTAGTAAAGTACATGTGACATCATCCATAAAGATGGGACCTATAGATTGGCTTCATGTGACACTTCCTATCAAGGTAGGTTATACAGATTGACTGAGAAAAACGAGCTCATGTTAAGGGTCTAGGGAAGAATCCAGTATGGTCTCAGACACACAGATATGCACAGGTCACCAGGCTATTAACCTATCTGCTCCCAACCTTCTGGGCAGGTAACTGGTTATGCATCCCTTCCCTGGAAGGAACACCTCCACGTATTTAACATTCCTGGTTCCTTTGGTGCTCATCTGTGAGTACAAGGACCTCGTGCCTCCCACAGTTGAGCTCTTGGTCCTGGAGTTTCCAGTCTAAGACTACATAGACCCTGAGGATGCACATCCAGGCAACAGCAGGTATCTTTGGTCTCCGAGTCAGATATTTCTGAATTGTGTGCATGGGTGCAGGTGCCATGGAGCACATGTAGAGATCAGAGGACATCTTTCCACCTGTCTGTGGTTTCCAGTGATGGAATCCAGGTCACCAGGCTTGGGTGGCAAGGGCTTGTCCACCGAGCCATCTCAACAGTCATGTTAATCTTTTTTTTTTTTTTTTTTTTTTTTTTTTTTTTTTAGACAGGGTTTCGCTACTTAGTTCTGGCTGCCTGGAACTTGCTATGTAGACCAGGATGGCCTTAAACTCATAAAGACCTTCCTACCTCTGCCTCCTGAGCTCTGGGTACTGCGATTACAGGTGCATGCCACCATGTGTGGCTTGGGTCTTGGAATCTGGGGGAATCAGGATTTGAACTCTGCCTTTACCAGCCCTGTGACAGGAGATTTGAACTCTGCCTTTACTAGCCCTGTGACCTGGGGGAAATTATTTACCTTTGCATGGTGTTGTGTCTTCAGTCTGTAAAGAGGGTTCATGGTACTGCCTTTCTCATAAGATTGCCATGAGTGCTGAGACACTACACACAGTGTGGGGCACACATTAGTAAGTCATTAAGAAACATGGTGTAGAAGCTGGAGAGATGGCTCAGCAGGTAAAAGCACTGACTACTCTTCCAGAGGACCTGGGTTCAAGTCCTAGTACCCACATGGCAACTCACAACTGACTGTAACTCCAAGACCTGACACCCTCACACAGACATACATTCAGGCAAAACACAAATGCACATAAATTTAAAAAATAATACAGTATTAAAAGAGAAAGAAACATGGTGTAAATACAAAATGGCAATGACGATGTGTATTTGAGTTCGATGCTTTTTGTAAATTCATTTGACCATGTGCACTCTTGGTGCTTTATGTGGGCTTTGGGAAATGCTGACCTGTGTTTATCATTATAGTGCCAACAAGCAGTTTCTCTATCTTGAAAATCCCCTGTGCTCTAGGATTCATCTCTGCTTCTCCAGCAAGCTCTGGCTTTCACTGATCCCTTTATTAGTTTTGCCTTTTCCATAATGTCTTATGGTAGGAATGATACATTATGTAGCCATTTCAGATTGGCTTCTTTTGTTTAGCAGTAAGCACAATGGTTCCTCTACATTTGTCTCACCTCCTGTCTGCACCACAGTCTACCCGCTCACCTGCTGAAGAGGCTGACACTGGTGATAGAGACTTGTGTTCAGGATTTTGTGTGGACATAGTTTCAACTCTCTTGAATAAACACCGGGAAGTATAATTACCAGACAATGTGGTAAGAGTATGTTTTCTCTCCTAAGTAACTGCCTGCCTGTCTTCGAAAGGTGGCTATGCTACTTCACATTCCCTCCAGAAAAGAACATGTGTTCGCCCTTCTCACACCCTTGCCAGCATTTGGCATTGTTAGTGTTTCCAGTTTGGGCCAGTCCAGCTGACATCTGTGTGGCTGTATTTTGTTTTACAAGCATATGGCTTTCTTTTCAGCTTTGACATCAGGAGTGTGAGGTCTCCCACTGTGTTTATCCTTTTTAAGATTGTTTTGGGCAATTAGAGAGTCTTGTAATTCCATTTACTTCTAAGATCCTCTTTTCTATTTCTTGCCAAAACCAAATCATGGGTGTCTTGTTAGAGACAGTGAATCTATAGCTCATTTTGGATAGTACTGACATCTTAATTAATACTGTTTTCCAATCTGTGAAATGGGATTTCTTTCCCTTTATTTGAACTCTCATTGATTTCCTTGAAGAACATTTTGTAGTTTTCACTATACAAGGCATTTATTCACTTCCCAAGTTAATTCTTAAATATTTCATGCTTTCGGTGTTACGGCGTGGTTCAAAGTTACAATGTGGTTCTATGATTTTCCAAAGGCTTTTCATGCAATTGTGAGGGCTTCCTACATACAGGATCCTATTACTACACCAGAGGCCATTTTTCTTCTCCATTCTAGTAGCAGTGTCCTTAATTTCTTCTGCCTGGTCCTCTGATATGGTTAACCCTGCATTGAACAGAAGTGAAATCAGATGCCCTCATCTTACTCTCAATCTGAGGCTAAGACTTCAGCTTTTTACTGTTGAATGTGTTCAAGCTCTGAACAGGGGCCTTTGAAATTGTGCTGTTCTGTAGTCCTAGCATCTATATAGAGTCTGGAACATAATGATTATTGAACAAACATAGTTTCTTTTCAAACTTAAAGAGCTAAAAGTATTTGGGCTTTTTCCTCCCCTCTTTCTTTCTTTCTTTCTTTCTTTCTTTCTTTCTTTCTTTCTTTCTTTTCAGGACAGGGTTTCTCTGTGTAGCTGTGGCTGTCCTGGAACTCACTCTATAGACCAGGCTGGCCTTGAACTTGAAGATCTGCCTGCCTCTGCCTCCCCAGTGCTGTGATTAAAGGTGGACACCACCTCTGCCTGGCAAGTATTTGTTTTTTATTCTTTTCTTTGTTTGTGCTTTTTTGTTTGTTTGCTTTTGTTTTTATAAGACCAGGTCTTACTCTGTAGCCCAAGCTAGTCCCAAGTTCATGGCAGCCCTCCCACCTCAAGTTCCTCAAATATGTGTGTGAGCCACCATACCTAGTTTTAGAGATTAGAGGAAAACAACACAGGTGAAAAGTGTTATCAGGCAGCACTCTAGCAAGGAGTTGGTGTTGGTCACTAATGATAGGCAATAAAGTCACTCCAATTATGGTTCAGTTGCTTGGGCAGTCTGCATTTTAGAGTCCCATCATGTTGTCTTTGCCTTTTCTATAGTAGACTTAACAGCTGGAAGGAGGATGCATATGTTCCAACTCTTCATATTTATGGCTGCTGAATAAATAACTTGCTACCCATTGGAAGCAAAGAAAATGAACAAAAAGCTATAAATTATACATAAAAGTTGTTCATGCCCATAGATGTAATAGCATATGCCTCACAGCTTTGAAGCCACGTAGCTGATTTAAAGGGCTAGAGTCTGTTGGCCTCAGTTTTAATTTGGGATGGCTGGAAGCATCCCTACCACCATTTCATTAGTCATGGCATGTGATTCCATCAGGATGTAACCCTTCAACTCACAGTAGATAAAAATTCTGATGAATGTAGTTTCAAAATGGGAAAATCAAATGGTTTTATTTAATGTACAGCCATCTCTCTTTATTTGGACTTTTAACAAGCAAGTTCTAAATATGAGCTAGCCTGTCTACACATTCCTGTTAACAAGGTCATCTAAGTCACATTTTAAAGATCACAGATGCAAAACTTGCTGATGACTTCAAGGTTGGCAGAATATAACAGAAAGAACATGCCTTTTGGTCTCAGTGAGGGTTTTTCTGGTTGAAAATAATTGAGATCCTAGAGCTTGTGCCAAAGAGGAACTTAGAACTCTGGGAAGATGTTCTCAGGACCCAAGACTATGTTACAGGACAAGGGCAGGCAGGCAGCCAGGCTGGGGAGAACAACAGGCCTGAGGAAGCAGGGTCATTCTGTCTCACTGTTTCTCTCCAGGGCTGGCCCTGCTCTCAGCAGACCACTGTCCCTTCTTCTACACTCAGTCATCTACAGCTGGTCAATTATGTCTTTTCATTGCTCCAGGTCCAGGGGCCAGCTGAGGCTGCCTGACATCTCTGACTTTCAAATTCCTAGAAGGCAGACTCTCATGAGCTCATTTTGAGTCAGGTGACCATACCTGGCTCATTCATTTATGAATTCAAAGCATCTGCACTAAGGCCCAGGAACAGTCTCAGCAGTCAAGGACACTTTCTGTTGTGTGGGGAGTTGTATGTGAGGCAGAGAGAAGGGGAGAGGGGAGGAGGGGGTGGAGAGGGAAGGGGGAAGAGGAGGGGAGGGGGAGAAGGAGGAGGAGGAGAGGGAAAGGGAGACTGACTGCCTGTTTTGGGGGTCTGGGTTGAGGATTGCCATTTTCAGACAAAGGGAAGGAAGTGTGGACTTAGGATTTAGTTCATTTTGTCCTAGGTTCAAATCAGAACACCCCTGTGCACATATACACCAGCTCTGCATAAACCAGAGCATATTAAATGACTCCTTTTAGCCTTAAGTTTTTAGTCAGTAAAATGGGAATAATCCTTTGTAGAGCAGTCATGAGGCTTACGAAGGCAAAAACGATGCTTGCCAAACCAGCAGGATGTCCACCACTGCCCTGAGCAATGCGACCTGTGTGAGTGTTTCTTCACTTTGTTGCTTGCCTTGAGGGTTAAAGCATGGGATGTTTACCTAGTGTCTGGCATTTGTAAACCCTGAGCCCCCAGAGTGTGTGCCATGCCTCTTATTCTTACTATGAATCACATGTTCCCCTCTTTTTCTAGTTCCCATTTGGCCGGCGCTTGCCTTGTGACATCTACTGGCATGGAGTTTCATTTCACGACAATGACATACTCTCCGGTCAAGTGAACAAATTTCCAGGTATCTGCTGTTACTGTTAACCTTTAGAAATATCCCTGGGTCCAGAATGTAGTCTTCCACAAGAACACAATGATGTTTTTAGATCAAAGATGAGGACTCTTTATTGAGAATCTCTGCCCATGGTGCCTGGATGCTGTTGTCATGGGGAAGGAATCCCCCCAGGAAATCATGAAAACTAACACTCCTGAGGGTCCGAAGATGGAGATTGGTCTTCAGTTAAAGGTGTGGTTTCTGTGGGTACAGTGCTTGCTGTGCAAACATGAGGCCTGGAGTTGGAATCCCCAGCATTTGGTGTATGGTAGTCCACCTGTAATCCCAGCTCCCTTCAGGTAGAGACAAAGGATCCTTAGGGAAAGCTGCGAACCAGGGGAGTTGAATGGTCCAGGTTCAGCAGCAGAAACTGCCCTAATGAATCGAGGTGGGGAGTGGTGGAGGAAGGTACCAGATAATAACCCATGGGCCTCCACACACATTTGTATGCATGTACATGTTCACCAGCACGCACACACACACACACACACTGCATACCATACACATATGTGAACACACACAAAATGAAAGCACATGTTTTGAACTTGTTGAGTTGGAGCTATAGCACAGGGAGTCCAATGATGGAACTTCAGTGTCTAAAGAAAGACTACAGCCTTCTTGAGCAGGAAACAGGCTTCTGGGAATAGGTCACAGAAATGAAGACCCCGTCTGTTTTCTCTTCAAGTATCATAGTTGAGGGTATCATTAGACTCTCCTGGTCTCTAGGTGCCATAAGCTGTGGACAGCCTCTACCTTTTACCTAATGACTGAATCTCATAACATGACTTACCCTGCAATTAGGACGTGGTGGTTAAGATCACCTCCATGTGTGGGGCTCAGCCTCCATGTCCGCTTCTTTTCTGTCTGTTAGCTCCTGACTCCATCTCCTCTACAATCACTATTCCTGACGGTTGTGTGATGACAGAGGCAAAGGGTAGTGGGACTCCTTAGGGAGGAGGGAGTGTTTGGTTGAGCTTCCAGATACAGGCTTCCCTCACATTAAGTTTGTTAATATATTGTAATATTATATTCTATTATAATACAATAATAATTTTAAAGGAAAGATCACTCTAGTTCTATCCCTCATGTAAGATTATATTTTCTCTCAAAGTTTGATTTCTTTATTTTTTATTTTATATACATGAGCCTTTTGCCTGTATGTGTGTGTACAATGTGTGTGCAGTGCCTGTGAAGGCCAGAAGAGGGCATCAAATACCCTAGAATTGGAGTTGGTAGCCACCACTTGGGTGCTCTGGAAAAGCAGCAGGTGCTCTTCGCCCCTGAGATGTCTCTCCAGCCCAGTTTTCTCAGACTTTAACCATGTCCATCATTTTTTATATTACAACCTTAGAGTGCCGTTGCCACAGCAGAGTGCCTTGTTAGTGTTGTATCTTTTGAACTTGTATTGAAGGGAGAGCAATTTGCCCTTTTATTTAGTATCCCATCCCATATCTTCAAGAAAAGGCCTCTCAGCTAGCCAGATATGGTGGCTCACACTTGTAACCCCAGCACTTGAGAGGCTGAGACAGGAGGATTGCCATTTATTTGAGGCCAGCCCAGGCAACATAATAAGTTGCAGGCTGGCCTAAGCCATGGAGTGAAACCCTGTCTCAAGACCAAAACAAACAAGAAAAACACCAATTCTCAGAAAATCCAGTATCCATATACATATCTATACACTGGCTAGTTTTGCCCTGTTCACCAGGGTTTTAACTCAGACATTCAAGGTTGTTACTGTAGACAGTACTTGGTTCACTTGAAAGGGTACAGGGTAGGAAGCACAACATGGCTGCCAATCCGTATGGAACATTTATCTTTAGTAGAGCATTTGCAAAACTTCCAGGGACTTGTTCCTGGCCCTCAGTAAAAGATGAGACACAAGGAGACAGGGTCCACATCTGTCTTGGCTTAGATGCCCGCAGGTGTCATCATCTCTCGTCATCTGAGGTCCTCTGCAAAGCTTATGTAGAGTCACAAAATCACCACTGAGAAAAGCTTGGGGCTCCAGCTTCCTGCCTGGTGTTCATGCAGCTCAACAACCCAAGTTCATGTTAGCCATGAGCCCTGTTCTTTGCCAGCATAGCAGATATCCCACCATATTGGTTTTGGGGAAGTTATCCCAAGGTCAAATTTATTTTCAGACAGGAGAAAGGTTTTTGTTAAAGAGCAAGAGCCTAGCAGCCAGGGTCATTGCATACCACTTTAATGAGCTTAAAAAAAAGGACTTTTTGAGGTCATGAAATAAAACAATTTCCATGACAACGGCACAGACTTATTGTATGTGACTCACAGTTTGTTGGTGAGGCTGCCTCTACATTTTCTTTTTGCTCCCATCTCCCCTGATGCTGAGATTGAGAAAGAAGTAGCTAAGCAGCTACATGAGGAAAGTAGAGGAAAAAGTACTCTTGAAGGACTAGCTTTATACAAGAACATTTGCTCCAAAGAGGCAAGCTTGCTCCATTCTATATTCAACATGCCAGTGACTGGAACTCGTAATTTTCCACTTTGCAAACAGCAGTTAATTAACTGTGATGACACAGCAGCCTTGGGAACCGAGGGAACAGTGCTGCCACACCCTCCGCCTTGGACAGACATTAACCTGCCAAGGCAGCGGGTAACTCCAGCCAGAACTGACTGACTTTTGGCTCCTGTTGTGGCCTCACACATACCCTATGACTCTAAATGCACATTTCCCATGCCTGGTGTATGCCCTAAGTACAATCCGGGGGATGCTCCAGGAGAGAATGTGCTAGAAATGCAGCATAAACTGAGAACTTCAGGACACTCATAATGGAATTTATCTGGTCTGTGTCACTGTATTAGATGTTATCTGCTTTTCTATGCATAATTTTTTGTCCAGAAATTCATTTCATGAATATTCTGATTTAGGTAGGTCTTTGCTTTGGTGTTTTTTTTTTTGGTTTTGAGACAAGGTTTCTTTGTGTAACCCTGGATAGCCTGGAACTCACTGTGTCGGTCTGGCTGGCCTCAAACTTGCTGTGATCCTCCTGCCTCCACTACCTGAGTGCTGGGATTCCAGAGGCATGCCACAATACCTGGCCCTGTCTTTGCTTTAGGACAGTCCAAAATTGTCATTTCTTAGCTTGCAGGCAGCGATTTTCTTCTGAGATTCCAGGTGTGAGGTGTGAAGTGGCACAGGGCAGTCTGGGGCTTCCCTGTAGGTAGAAAGGGAGCTTCAGCGAGCAGGCTGTGAGGTGGCCAGCTGTCAAGCACTGGTCCAGGTAAGAGTGAGTCACAGTGTAAGTGCTGTGCTGGAGAAAGGACATGTATGTAGCCTGAAGCAGGCAGGCTGGGTGAGACCCTGGAGGAAACGGTGTGCCTCTCCCCGACACTACACAGAGAGCTGTAGCAGTACAGATAGCTTTAGCCTGCTGCTCATCCAGCTGAGAGCAGGTGATGTAGATAGCCCCAGAGGGTCCAGTGGGATGTGGGGGGGAGTGACAGCAGGGACCTAAGCACAGTGCTGCTGTAGCCTGGAAATCACTAGGAGCCGAAGACCCTTTTAAACCAAACTGTGACATAGGCTAGCTTTCATTTTAGAAAGGTCAGCCAGCAAGTCACTTTGGAGGCAGCTGAGAGAGGAAATGGGTTCAGGTGAGAATAAGGTGAGCTATGATGGTGAAGATGGAGGAGAAGGTGGGCGTGGAAAATTTGTTTGGCAGTTATCATGTGGTTCTTTGTTTAATGATGGGAATCATGGTTATGAATGGTGCTAGGATTGAATAGTGCCTCAAGTATGGCTCAGTTTGTGACGTGGGTGAGGCTGAGGACCAAGCTGTGTGCTCTTTGTTAACTCCAATGGGATAAGACCCATCAGGCCCTGTGACTTCAACAGAAGAATTCAGGGCTCAGAGTAGTTGCCCAAGGCAAGCACTTGCTATCAGTAGCTGTGACTTGAGTCAGGCGCTTTTGCCAATCAACAGGGAACCACTGCCATAGGAGATGTCTAAGGGTAGACCTCAGTGAGTTACCCAGGGACACAGTCAGCCTCAAGAGTATGGTGAGAGCTGGCAGGAGCCCAAGCACTGGCTATAGTCATAGACAGTAAGACCCTCCTAACCCTTTGGGTAGGCTAGGAGGAATGAAAACAAGGTTGTAGAGAGATGAGGCATGAGAGAGAATGAGGCCAAAGCCCCATTCAGTTCCTTGTGTGCCCCAGGTAATCCTAAAACACAAGGAGCAAAAGATAAGTTATTAACATAGAGGTCAGAAAAACACATAAAACCTCGGCTGTAGAATGGAGCCGAACTTTTTAGCAGAGGGAAACAGACGGATCAGCCACTGCAAGTCACAGTGGGTTCTAGAGCCCAGGGAAGCACTCAAGTGGGGAGAGCTTGTTTTAAGCACAGAGGGGGCCTGGAGCCTGAGGGGCCTGGAGACTTCAGGGCATAGAACCGACAGGGCCTTGGGTGTTTGTGCGCATGTGCACTGGAGTCTTCAGGGCATGGAGCCTGTGGGGCCTTGGTGATTGAAAAAAAATAAAATAAAAAGGAAAGAACATGACTGCTCCTAGGCTTGGAGAGGAGAAAGCTTATTATAGATGAAAGGGAGAACAAAGCCAGAGGCAGGAACATCTGGGAGAGTCCAGAGTGGACATGACCAGACAGATGGAGCTGGGCCATGTGGGAGAAGAGGAGGGGAAAAGAGAGGGGAGAGAGGGGAACCAGGTGTGGCAGCCAGGAGGCCACAGGTACAATAGGGTGAGTAACCAAAACGTCTGGATTATATAGGGGGAAGGGAAGCCCAACTCCTGGCTAGAGAGTAGGGTATGCCAGTCATACCCTGTAACAGGTAGGGATGCTGGGAGAAACTGGTGACCAGGTCCACTTTAATGTGTTAAATAGGCACCTCAGTCATTTGTCCCAGGGTTTGAGACCTAATATCAGCCATCACTGCCATTCTGAATTTATCCTGGGAGCATGGGCCTGGCTCTGCTAGAAACCCAGATAACTCTGAGCAGGGGTTGTAGTGGGAGAAGACACCACTTCCCACATCTACATGAGCCGCATGCAAGAGATGCCAGTGCCCTCCATGACAACAAAGATGCCACACAAGGATGAAGACCTGATCGTCAAAGAGCCAGATGTGGTAGTGGCTATTGTAGTCCTGGTGCTGGGAATCAGAGACAGGCAGATCCTTGGGGCTCATGGCCCACACAGTCTAACCTAGGTGTTGGGCTCCAGACCAATGAGAAACCCTGTCTCTATAACCAAGGCAGGACTGGGAGATGTCTCAGCAAGTAAAGCTCTTGTGTAAACAATAAGACTGGAGCTGGGGCCAGGCATTGGTGGTGCACGCCTTTAATCCCAGCACTCGGGAGGCAGAGGCAGGCGGATCTAAGTGAGTTCGAGGCCATCCTGGTCTCCAGAGCAAGTGCCAGGATAGGCACCAAAGCTACACAGAGAAACCCTGTCTCAAAAAAAAAAAAAAAAAAAGACAGGAGCTGGGATCCCCAGAACCCATGTTAATGCCAGGTGGGCATGGTGGCCTGTGTGCCATTCCAGTGCTTGCAAGACAGAGGATCCGCAGAGCAAGCTGGCCAGATTGACTAACTGTATCATTGAGCTCTGGATTTGATTACTCTGCCTCAATGAATAAAGTGGAGGCCACAGCCCCCCCCCCACCAACACAATGAGAAAAGTGGTGGACAGCTCCTGAGGAATGACACCCAAGGTTGCCCTCCAGATGTACAACCATATATACCCAGCTACCCACAAGAACACAAGCACACAGGCATACACACATACACAAACACACATAAAGAACAAAATGTCCACATGTTTTTAAGGGAAACATTTTGGTTCCCTCTGGGCAAATGAATGAGGGGGGAGGGGAGATGTCCAAACCAGTACTGACTAAGCACCGCATCTCCCCATAATTAATACTATCAGTTATGCTGTGGATGCATCACCTTCCTGTCCTTGATTCAAGGAGACAGGTTTTATGCTGAAAGGTGTGTGTTTTTCTATTTTATATCTTCAGTAGTCATAAAAGATTAAAACAAAGCAGCTTAATTAAGTTTCTCATAATGTCACCAGCATCCACTAGGTAATCTTCTCTGGGGAACAGGATGGGAAGGATCCCTGAAATAATGTGCCCTGGCCGTGTAATGAAAAGGGGCTCAGTTTTAAGTGTGAGATAGAAAGAACGTCATTACCCATAAAGATGACAAAGGATAGTCTTGGACTTGAGGCTCAAATGGATGCAAAAGCTGGTCCTCTCACGTTTATAGGGAAGGGAAATAATTGGACCGATTCTCCCTGCTTTAGTAGATCCTCCTAATCTGTGAGCCTATGTGGCCCAAGAAGGTGACCATGGTGGGTGGGAGGCTTTAAAAGTCTCTGGTGGTGTACCGGGCGTTGGTGGCACAAGCCTTTAATCCCAGCACTTGGGAGGCAGAGGCAGGCAGATCTAAGTGAGTTCAAGGCCAGCCTGGTCTACAAGAGCTAGTTCCAGGACAGCCTCCAAAAGCCACAGA